ATCCCGGAAAAATATATTCCACGGTGACAACGGAGTCAAACGGCATGTGTGTACTTATGTCACAGACGGGTGCAAACAGGGGAAAATTGATGGCAGGCCTGACAATGACGTCGATGTTTCCTTGGTAACTGTACAAAAAATTATCAAGAACACCACAGTTGAGGTTAGAAACGACAGAACGCGCTTTTATGATTGGAATTCCTTAACAGCGTTTTGTCTTTCGAAAGGTTTGTAACCTGTGAGAATTTTATGTTCATTTCTTCAATGCCGAGAATTTTATACAAAATTTCCATAAGTGTTTGAGTGTTGTTTCTTAACGAAATACTTGATTTGCAAACTTTTCTACATATAACAACTCACTGCTTTAAATACGAAAAAAAGTATATATTTTCCCCCTCTCTACCAAAATCTGCATTTTGATTAATATATTCAGTTGACACTTCGTAATCTGTCCTTTTCAACAAGTATCCAACCTGATTGAAATTATTTAAGGAATAAAAGGTTCAAAGTTACACTGTATAACCTGGGTTCGGGCAGTTTACGCTTAATAAACCTCGAAGCGGTTTATTAAAAAAGTGTAAACTGTTCACACCTAAATGTATAACTTGTGTACGTAGCTGTTAAAGTTACTCCTTATAATTTAATTTTCTATCATTAGGTGTAAAATTTCGCCTTCAAAAATGTCTTCAAAATCTGCAAAAATCAAAAATATAATGTTAATTCTAAAATCCAATTATTAACCGTTTCGACACATATTTCCTTCTCGAAAAACTTCATTTACACAACGCGAACTAATGATACATGTACTTGATATAGCTACTGCTGAACATACCGTGTAGCTAGGCAATCATAAACAAGTTATTTTTAGAATGTCTATATGCTTTGATCGACTCTGGATGTTTGCATTTAAAGAGAAACGTGTATTTTTATAAACATGTCAACACCACAAAAAATAACTAAACAGATAACTTTGTTCATATCCCGATCATTTAAGGAATGTTTTTAAGTTTTGTGTGAGTTATTGGTGTGTAAATCACACAGTCTTGTCACGTAGGCATATTTCATGAAGCGCGCTAGCGTGCTTAAATGCACCAAAAACATACTCAGTGTTTGAATTTCTCGCTGCCCTATTTCGTCATATTTTTATTAACGTCACTGTAGCCTCATTGTGACGTCACTTTAGCTCGAGTTTCGACGTCTATATTTCTACGCGTGAGTATACACAAAAATGACTTTCAAATCAATATCACAGTTGGCTTAGCAGAAAAACACAGCAAATGTAAATATTTTTTTTAATACGTCAAACAAACATTTTCATAAACAAATATTTTTCATATTTACATAGAGTAATTATGTGTTATTTTCATGTTCACACTTCCTGTTGAACGCTGTGGAATTGAAATATGAAGATAGCGAAAAACGATTGTGAAGAGTGCAAGCTTATATGTTACAAAGTACTATGATGATCGGCGAAAAATTGACAGTTTAAGATTTAATATGTGTTTAGATGTTTAACATCAATGATACACGTGTCACTGGGTGGTCTAGTGATCCTCTAAACATGTAGGCTTATAACAGTACTTACGGACAGTTCAATGATCCCTCAATTAAGGAGGTGAAGGACCTTTGGGCTAAAAATATCCCGTCATTCAATTTTTCTCATATTTTGTATATTTCTAATTAAGTATGTCCCACATATCTTAAAGCAATTAAATCATTAGGTTTCTTACCTTATTTTAGAGATATTGATCGACAAATACTATGCCTTAGAGTATCTAAGTGGAGTTTTAATTCTCCGTGTTTTCCGGTCCATTATTCTGTCCATGATTGGATTTTTTAAGCATAGATAAAATATATTTAAGGGGACATGTATCTTTTAAAATATTTCAGAGTATGAATAGGGTTTAAAATTTGAAAAATCAAATTTCTTCTGTCACACTGCATCTAGATAGGGAAAATTACGTACTTTTTAAGACAACTTAAACAACAAAAAACTAGATTTGCAAAATATTCTATCATTCAATATTTTTAAATTTACGTTGAAATGCAAGTCCTTCACATTATTGATTAACTGTAAAAATTTCAAATGGTGAAGCTGACCTCAATATTGCACAGGACATCGTTAAAGAAGACATAAGCATGACAAAAACGTGTCATGTTTACATTTCTCGAGTACGGGAAAAACCAACTATGACGTCACACGTAAGCTGAATAAGCAAAATTAGATATACCTACATAAGATTTCGTCATCAGCCATGCAAAAATAATTTTTGTGTTCCCCGTTTCTCAAAATATTTCATCATATACTGATTATGATTATTTTTACATAATAATACCGCCCCTGTATTCACCGAGTATGATCTAGCTGTACTAACAGATCGTGTATGACGTCACCGACATGTTGGATGTGCAGTTTAGAGAAACAGAGGAGTGGATCAAACAATTTTATAATTTGCTAATGTTTACAAGAATGTTAATTTTTTTTTATTTTTCTATATAGGTTGGTAATTAAAGTAAAAACAAATTGTCAAAATTTATACAAGAACTTATGGTTTACACGTTTTGCACTTATATAAACAGAGACTATGACGTAGTTAAACAGTCATGTGACCATGTGTCCTTCATCCCCTTAAATCATTAACTCTCAAAGAAGAAGCAGCGTTGCAGAAAATGATTCCATCATATGACGTTAAAATATGACGTCTACTTTACCGCTTGATTTCTCGATAACGTCACAATGCACTTAAGGTAGGTCGCGGGTTTGCTTTTGTCATCAATTTCGGTACACAATTTCGACGATTCGAGCGGTTGTTTTGTGCACATTTGATTATGACGTCAGTTACGTCACAAAGGCGACGTTGCATTGCTTCCCGTTTATTTCTCTGAAAATTACTTTAGCAATAGCATCTAGTCCAAACGAAGCGTAGAAAGTACATATTATTTCCGTAATTGTACTGTCGTAAATTGAAAGGCTGTATGTATATGCACGTAATTTGCGATGAAGGGTAGGTGCGTAATGCACTATGTTTGCTCATCACAATCAGAAAAAAAAACAAATTTGTTATTTTTTAGGATAAAATAAATCCTCAACACTAAAAACGGATGAAATTTAATTACATGCATTTTCCTCTTTTAAATAATTTATTTAGCTTATCATCAGATTTGAAAATCCTGTTAAAATAAAAAGAAATAAAAACGAGAAAGAACAAATGTTTGAGAGTTCGGACTATATACTGAATTGCGATATAAAAAGAACATTGCCGGTAAACCCCCCCCCCCCCTCCTCAGTATTGGGGTGTGTTTTTTTTCTTTACCGAATTCGGATGAAGTGATAAAATTCACGTGTTATACTTGAAATCTTATAATAATGAACTTAAACATCCTAACATTACTTGAATTAATCGCAGTGTTGTCGCTGCATATTAATTCTAATGCTTGAAGACTGTTTATATCAATATAGTTTTACCGTTCATTCTGACTTCGTGGGCAGAATATGAATTTCATAATACTAGAGTAGATAAGATTGCTTTTCTTCCTAACACGTTTCTGCAATAAGTGAATGCTAATTAAAATTACAGTGTGCATCTATGTCACCTTTTAGATCTTGTATATTCCAAATATAAAGATATATGTAAACGCGATTACGCTCAATATATGACGTTTTAGTCATAAATAACGCCATAAACGCAACATTTTGGCAATATAAAAGCAAACTTTAAAATTATTTAGCAAAAAAACTAGCGAGAAGACATATTGATTTTTTTACCTCAATAGTTTTAATTTTACCTCATCTTGATATTTTGAAATTTCTGAGTAATTCGTCTACGTCTTTAAAAAGTTATCCGACCTTTTCTAAAGAAACTCTTTCGGTAAAATTGTTTTAAAAACGTCATTTTCCTATATATTTCTATAGTAAAGCGTAAAAATAGTACCGAAAACTATACCGCGTTTACAGTTATACAGCATTAAAACCACGTACGTAAGCAAATTTAATAAAAATTTCAGATAATATGCCGCAAATTCTAAGGAACATTATATCAAATTTTCAGGATATGTTTTCGCGTAAGATTTTTTATGCAGTAAACCCGCGACCTACCTTAATTAAGCCTGGTTTTCGCTTGACGGTCATCATATTTTAAATGTATCGTCAAGAAGATTGATACGTGTTTGACGTGATATATAGACAACACAGGTTATGCGATTTAAACGAACTTTTCTATCCAACCAAATGGCGCCTTACAATCAGAATTGAATTATTTTAATAAAGTTAATAAAGTATGTTTCACGGTACCAATGTCATCCTTTTTTGCATCTCATTTAAATACATAAACCTAAGTTCAAACAATGACTTTTCTTCTTTTTCTTTCTTTCATATATTTGCATTTTAATCTTTTCTCCCAAACTTTTTTCTTTGACACAATCCCTCGAGTTCTTCATATTTCATGACACAGCAGAGAATTCACTTCTACAGGAATTGAACATTATGAAAATGGTCGCCACTTCGGAGAGAGATTCAACAATATTTGTGCTTTCTGTTGCTTCAATAACGTATGACATAGTAGAAGTTTGGAATCTGTTTGGGAGCTCTCGCTCACACGATCTTTTGAAATAACAACTACTCCCTTGTACGTTTTACAGTAATGGCCGAAATAAAGCATAGCAAATTTTGTTGCACTTTTGAAAATCGTGCATGTTATACTAGCTGATTTGTTTAAAGGTGTGTGTATCCAGTCTGACTACAGAAAAAAAGTTCAATAATATTTTCTAGACCTCGATAACTCGATCGAATACCCGGATTTCTCAGTCCCATCTAGGCCTATACGTGTATTATGCTTGTGTACTTTTATATGCACACTCAGCTAGTTTTAATTCTTTAAAATTTGAAAAACTGAGTATAAATGTAATTTTAAAAAATTCATTTACGATTTGAAGTCATAAATCATTGCGCATGATGGTACACAGTTTTGAAAATTATTCTGTATTAGTATTTTGATATACAGGCGATCCAGCATTCAGTGTTTGGGCAGCAGGACAGACAGTTCACGAGACAGTGAATTTCGAAAAAGCATCGGTCAACGACGGGAATATCTTTAATGAATCTGACGGGACGGTTTATGCTCAGCGGAACGGAGTATATTTTGTGAGCTGGACTGTTCACTCCTTCAACGACTGTTTTGTTATCTCTGGTTTCCGGTGATGCTATAATCGGTAACCTGACTACCACGTCACTTCCGGATCATCACTTCTGCTATTCTTCAATTAGAGAAAGCAGAGACTTTGAAAATTAAAATTTAAAAGGCGAAATCGGATGCTTTGGACTGTACTTTTCCGGATTTATAATTAGATCTATCGACTGAACTATAAAAGATCTAGAGAGATAAAAGTGATCAAATAATTAAGTGAAAATGCAGGCAGTGATAAATGAGATAGTGTAGGTTATGAGTAATGTAACTATGTTATATTTATATGACTGTGTTATATTTAAGCGTGTTATACTAGTCTTGTACGTGTTCTAAATAATATATTATGTATTTTCTGTCTTGATATTGCAAATTTTGATCGGTTGATGTTGATGTAAATACCGTGTATCTATTGTTTTCATAAAGAAAAAATATGATTGCTGTGTCAGAAATGATAAAAAGCATTTTCATAAAGATGAAAAATAAATAAATTACTTCGTGGGGTTTTGTTTCCAAAAAAAGATGTGTGTCTCTTAAATGTGTTTTTTGCATACTATTTAATACTAGCCAGGGAATTTATACTCAACTTTCTCTTAACTTACAGTCAAGGACAATAGAATACTCCATAACAACATTATCTGTTCTTATGTTCTGGGATATAAAAAATACTCTTACTTTGGGAAGCTGCATATGTAATTCACCGATTGTTAAATAAATGCAATCAAAGATTTTCCTCAATAAACATGTTTCAGGAATAGAAATCATGCTCGAAAGTCCAATCAAACAATACAAATCGAGAGCAGAGTAAAACCCAGAAAATATCAGAGGTGGGATTAGGTGCCAAAGAGGAGTACATATCCCCCTTCGTGCCTTAGCTTTGCCTAATATTCTTTGTTTTGTCCTCAGTTCCCTGTAAGAATACGTATGGCTTTTAAATTTCAATATTTTACATTTGAAGCAGGTTTCTTCCTTTATCGCCCCAATGCATATTTTAGGTTATTTAAGTTAAAAAATCTAGATCTAATAATTGTTTAGGTTCCTTAAAACTGACAGAATGTGTCCCTGTTCTTTCTAAAATATGGATATTTTTATAAATTTTCACTATATCGTACATGTCTAGGAAATCACATAGATGTCAAACAAAGTCTTTAGGTTATTTCTCGACATATAATGCTAAAACAACATAAAAAAAATTCAACAAAACATTTTATTTATAAAATTTCATTCAGAGAAATATTTGACGACGCTCAGAAAAAAAAATTCATCAGATTCTTAGCTGATTTTAATTTGAATCTTCAGTCAGAACAATTATATTTCTGGTGAGATCAGATTTCAAACTAAATCTGGTGTATGAAGAGCAAATTACTCGAAAATTAATAAAAATTAAAATCTATGCATTTTCGATTTCAAACATGTTCTTTTCATTGAAAAACAGTTTTTAAAAAAAAGTTTTGGTATATTTCTTTTTATAATTTTATATAGGAGTATTGATTACTGTAAACCAACTATTCATCTAGAAACCCAAACAGATAAAATTATATAGTAAGAAATATATAACAATATGCAAAGACACTAATTAGTCTTTATCAAAACTATAAATTAAGTACATAAAATATTTTACCAAGTTTTTCTGTACCTAGTACTCTTAATAACCCCTTCTATACTCCTACCTCTGAAAAAAAAATTCTACACATATACATGTACCAGTTTTATTAAAAACAACCACTTCTTGGAACCCAATAAGGAAACGAGATGCGTCCCTGTTCCTGAAAAAGTATCTACACATATAGCATTAAAAAAAAATCACTTCAACTAATAAGATACAAAATGCATCACTGATTTATTGAAAATTAAATATATCACTTTTTTCGTTTCATATAATAAGATTAATGTGTTCTCTTAGCAACGTAAAGCTCGGACAAAAATCCCAAATTGAATTATTTATGGTTCATTTGTCTCGAGGGGTTTGTACTCGTGCTTCCGTGACGTCACGCGATGACGTTTGATGAAAACGATGACAAACACAATAAGGCCTACCACCATTACAAACGCACCTGTTCCGAATCCTGCCAAAGCCACAGGTGCCGACCGTATGTCAACAAAACCACTCTGTCAAATACAAATTTATACGTTTTTATATAAAAAAAATAATAAACATTTTGAAAATTATAAACCCCCCCCCCCCAAAAAAAAAAAGAATCCAAAGAAATTTGAAGTAGTTCAGAACAAAAAAATGATGTATTTCAACGAAACTAGATCCCTAAATATTTAATATCTAAATTCATATTTCTTTGTCATATCTATATGCATTCTAAATAATGTGATAATGTGATACACGGCATGAAATAAATCCTATGATATGAGTAGTGGATGGATTTTCATTTTAACCAAAAAAGATTGAGTATCAGACTTACCCCCTGGGACTCGTAAGTGTCAGTCTGTGCCGTGGGAGGTGTGGGGATTGGGAGTGGTTCATCATCAATCATGAAAACCATGTCACGTGATACACAAGTATTATTCTCGTAATGACACGTGACCTTTAATGTATCTACGTCATCAATAAACCATAACCATGGTCTAAAGCTGAAACAGATAATATTAGTCATGGATCTAAGCCTAAACAATCATACTTTCGTTGTTTACTGGAAAAATATTTCTAATAGCTTAGAACGTAAGTTTAAGGAAGCTCTAAACACTAACAAAAATGTTTTTGGTCTTTGAGAAATGTTCATCATATAAAGATGTACATACTGAATTTTTCTAGTTCATTTTCAACATAGGGTACCTGCCATATTTCTCCAGGAAAAATGTTCATATTAATGAACTGAAATAACTTTTTTAATTAAATATTGGGAAAATACATTCAAAAAATCTTTTCAGTTACTTTATCTTGATCTAATATGATATTAAGAATGCTTTAATGAATTTTAAATTATCTCATTTACTGTAGAGTTCCATTTATTCCATTTTACATCAAAGGGCAGATCACTCTAACTGCAAAAAACTACCATGGAATTTGGACTCTTTAGTGAGCAGTGTTTTGAGCTTCCTCAAGAAATAACATTCTATTTTTTGAGAATTTATGAGGTTATATATACATGTATACACTGGGACAAATGGTATTTATGTAATTTCTGCATATTACAACATGCCAAAGTATATTTACCATTATGGTCATAACCAGAGAAAGTTATTTCTTAATATACAAGTTTTTTTTATATATATGTAAAACTAATCCACTCAACTTTGATCGAAATCAAACTTTGATAAACAGAATTATAGTTTCATATAGTCCACAATTTAATTTATTCATAGTCTTTTTATAGTCCTTTTATAATTTATAGTCCTTACATAATCTACACCAATTCAAAAGGTTATAAGTTTTCATATTGACCGGCTTTAAAGTCGTATTCACTGGAGGGTCATGCAAGTGGAGAAACAACTTAAGGATATCCGCTCCTCAGCCAGGAAGGATAACTCTTTAAATTATCATTTAATTAAAAAAGTCTCAAAATGAAGCTTGAAATTGAAATCATTTTGTGCAACAATTTTCATTTCATGCATCTCAATACGATTCATGGTTCTTTGAAGTCTACGAAACTGTACTGTAAAAAATTGACATTTGTACCCCATAAAAGTACAACAAAAAATACATCTTTCGAGAAAACAAATTTCCTTTAATCTAGCCTTACAGTGTACATACCAATGTTTATTAGCCATGATGTAAAATTATCAGTAATCTGTGATGTCTAACAATGATACCACAAGATTTTAAACTATGTGTTAGACAGAACTGAAGAAAATACAAGAACTAAAATACCACGTAAGTATGAAAAACATGCAAATTCTCTCAAGCCTGGATACCTATAATTTTTTCCCCTAAAATATATTTGATAATCAATCTAAAATTAGAAAATGCAAAGCTGGTGCTTTCATTCACATTCCCTGAAAATATATTTGATATTGTAATATTTCCATTTCTATTTTTTTCTCTGTGATAACTCTTTGAAAGTTAGGAGAGTTGATTTCTTGATCATTCTAACGGAATGCAAATTTTGCCAGGCGAAAGGTCAGTAGCTAAGAAAGCATAATATGCACGTAATTCTCGTGCGGCTGTCTTTGTGTCTGACTCTAAGGAGGTCTAATATGCATGTAATTTTCGTGCGGCTGTCTTTGCGTTTGACGTCAGTGGGCGGGGACTATTGAAATTGACATGTGAGGCCTCGTGTAATTTAAATCTATTAGTCTACATTTTTAAAATCTAAATTTACAATTTTATTTCAAAATGATATGGAAATATAAGGAATCACTGTCTAGTTAGTAGAGCATGCCAGGGACATCAACGATAGTTGGAAACGTGGGATAATTTATGCATAACGGGCTTCGCCCGTTATGCAAATTATCCCACGTTTCCAACTGTCGTTGATGCCCTGGCATACTCTACTAACTAGACAGTGATTCCTTAAATAATTTCCCCTATATAATATGATTAACAGTGATTATACTTTGAACTTTGAAGAAATATCATGGGTAAATACACATAACTTTGTGAATTTTTGTGAGCATTTTCGATTACTTAACTGCTGATTTTCTGAACCAGAGGATCGGAGTACCTTAATGTTATTGGTCCCGGAAGCATGGTTATATACTAATAATTTAATTTTGGTTGTAACGCGTCATTTGAATGGATAAAAAAATAATAGTTTATATCGATATAACTGTCCCAGTTGCCTACGTCACAATGACTTACGTCAAAAATGTATCAATACGCATGACGTAGCAATTAAAAAACGTACAATTTGAACGCATTTTTGAAGGAGAAAATGTTTATTTTCTATATACTTAAATGATGGAAAATTAAATTATAAGAAATAAATTCAATAGCTACTCAAGTTATACTGGTATTACCTGCGTTGGAACAGTTTACGCTTTTTATGAATTGCTTCGAGGTTTGTAAAGCATAAACTTCCCCAACTTAGGTTATACAGTATAAATTGGGTGGCTATTAAATTCATTCCTTAAAGGGAGTTCTAAAACTAAGAAAAAAATCTACTATTTTTTTTTGTAAATAGAGTTTACCTTGATAGCATCCCATTTACAGTATCAATACATTTACTACAGGTACACAGGTAAGTTCTCGTCATCTGAAAAATAAAAATAAATTGAAACGAAATAAATAAATGAATAAACAAATAATGTGTTATTCTGAAAAAGGTGAAAATAACGAACAGTTACCGATCTCAATAAATCTGCGATGTATTAAAAAAACTATTTTTTAAAAAGAATAAAAACATAGCTTACCAACGCTTCTGTTGTTCGACATTTATCATTTTCAAAAGCAGTATTCAAATCCTGTACAAAACAAAATTAAATAAGCATTAAAAAATCATTTTATAAATTGCAGTTATTATAATATTTTTTTTAAAGAAAAGAAACATGCCAACATATATCCATGACAGGGTGTCTAATGATTAATGTTATAAGTTAATTTCTAAGGGCGATCGTTTAATTTTCCAATTTTATTTAATTTAACTGAAACCGACCAAGAAGCATGAAAAATACCTGTTTATTGTTTTCTTTTCTCAAAATATCCATTAATGTGACGTGTAAAGCAGCAAGAATTTGTGACGTACACTGTATATCCGATGATGACGTCACGTCCCTTACAGAGCACATCAATCTTACACTCTCAAGCATAAAGCTCAGTCTCTAAAGGGAAGAAAGACTTTTGAGGTTTATAAAAGCATGGAAATGCGTTTTATTTCTGAAAAGAATTATGAATTACCAATTACCCCCAAAAAATGAACCAATCTGTTTATTCTTATTTGTAAAGAAAGTAACTTACCGGTCCAAAGGAGCATGACTCAAGGTGTTGGACGGCACTTTGTAGACATTCCAAGGAGACTTGACCGCAAGCCTCGGAAAACATGGCTGAATTCATAACCATATCGGCTTTCTCCGCCATCTTTGCACGAAATATATCAAATTCATCGCGAATACACCATTCACCACTTGCACAGTTTAGCAATAGCTCGTTCATCACGTCATCAGAAAATAAAACGTAATAAACGTCCCAGATGTTGGCAATTTTCACCAAACTTGGCAGGTCGTCAGTACAAAGAGACTGTAAAATGTCTCTTGCTGCACAATTCTGAGTAACGTCTGTTGATTTGAGTGTTGTGGTTGATAAGGTATTGATGTTTGGTGTGCTGTTGCCGGGGGTCTTAGAAAAAATATCTTGAATTTGACCTTGTAATGAAGCGCCAGTATCATTGGTTTGAGATCTATCTGAGTTATTTAGAAAGGATATCAAGGACTGTATGGCGTCATCATTTGAATCATTTCCTCCTGTTCTTTGTGTTGTCATGGAGACGGTCAAATTGTGGAATATTTGGGACGGTGAAGTTGAGCTGGGTGTATTGAAAGTGAAAGTAGCGTTCGAAGTTCTCGTTGTTGATGGAGTCTGTGGCGGATCTTGTGTGGTAGAAGTACTTGAAGAATCCACATTTTGTTCGTTCCGTAAATCGTTTAAGATTTCCTGTAACAAACTTTGACCTTCGGGCTCTTCATCACAAGCAACATTGGGCGGATCCAATATAAACACTCCTATCATGTAAATTATCCACATTCTTATCCAATGTATGTGAGACGTCTTTGAGTATTAGGGATTAAAAGGACAAGGCATCATAGATCCTTACACAAAATATATCTTGTTTGTGCGACTTTATCTATAACTATATGCGTGACATCTAAACACACTTGGAACAGCAGTAGCAATTAAATCAACTTGAGATATCTATACAATTTTTATGGGCATGACTGATCAATAAATGATAAAAACAATCTATTGATTTGATTCTTTATACTTATAGCATTATGTACGTGTAAACAAAGCAAAATAAGATTACTTCAAGTGATTCTTACATACCTTCAGTTAAAATAATTCACAAATGTTTGAAGTCATTAATATTTATTCATATTTGCAGAAAAGAAACTATTCTAATTTTGAAATGTTCCGTACATGGAAAAATTAATCTTTAATATTTTCTCTTTTTAAGTCGGAGGATATTGATTTCACCTTGACTTTGTGAGAGATAAAGAGCGTTCGAAAAGAAAACGTGTCGCCTTAATCAATTCCACGAACACTCAGACACAGTGTTGACATTGTAGAGTCATTGTGGAGATTTCACGCGTGGTAACATATGGTTAAATCACAAACCCTGCACATTGAAGAACAATGTTAGAAGCTTTGGCTTTTATATGGGTTTATGTTATATCTATATCAGCTTGAATTGTTTGTTGTTTATATGTACGAATATGTCTTATATTTTACGGTGGAAGATAAACCATATTAAATGTATTAGATTTTTAATGCATTTAGATAGAAAATTAAAATATAATTATCAAAAACTGTCCCAAAATGTTTTAAATTGACAAGATATTTTATTTTCAATGCTAAAAAATACATGTTCTAAGTTTTTATGCTGTGTTGTGGAGTAGGTTTTCCCCATAGCCAACTTTTCTCCCGGAATGTCTTAAATCTTAAGTATAGGAACCTCCCCCCCCCCCCCGGGAAATCTCACACTAAAGTAACATTTACCCCCTATATATCCTATTCAATTAATGCTAAAATAATATCGAAAATATTTTGGCTAGAAGTTTACATGAAAGTCAACTGATTTTTTAATGAAAATGTGAGTGTTTCGACTTAAGACTTGTTCAAAATTAGAACGAAATCTTAAAATATTTATTTTAAATCATTGAGTCTCAACCCCAAAATTTAAACGCACAGGAAATCGTAAAATTAGTCACCCAAAGACATTGTAAGACTCGACGTCTCAACAACCCCTTCTCTCGGTGCAGGGGTACCTGTTTGTTTTAGATAAACGAATTTAAAACAGAATATCAGGCCATCTTCAGAGATTAATTTGTTTAATCAGAGAGCAAATACTCTCTTAAAGGGTTGCAAAATTTATTTTTTTTTAAATTGACCCATTTTTAGTTCCATGGCAACGGCAGCTATTTTGGATAAAATATAGACTACTCGGCTCGACACACCTTTCAATATTTTCCGGGTCAAGAATATTTTTTTTGTTGTTGTTGAAATGAAAAATGGCAAAGCTTTCTCATTTGTGAACCATTTCATGTGAAACATGTTTTGAATTTTTTTTTTAAACTGCATTGTGTTCTCGAAGTAACATTGCAAAATTACATTCTGAAAAGTCTCCATTATAACATCTCAAGACATTTCTAGAAATCGTTTCTTGAATATATTACAATATTTTGTTTTATTATAAATCATGTCTATCTTACCATTCTTCAATATTTTCTAACGACGTTAAAAATGTTTATGCAACAATGAAAGAAATGTTTCCTTTTCTTAAAACTACCAATTTCTAACGCATTTCCAACATATTGCAAAATGTTCTTACAAAATTTTCAAAACATTACCCATCTCCCAAGCAGTGTTGTCATTCGTTCCTCTCTCAAAGAGCATTTATATTAGACGCAGGTAGAGGGAGGAAATTTTTATATCATTTAAAGGTGCTTAGACACAGATTTGAAGTTTATATTTTCTCAAATTTTCTGTATAATGTCACGACTTATATATTGCAATAGAATTTCACACGAAAATAAAATCAAAAACTTATTTAATCTGGAATTGAAACTACGAATTTCGGGAGGCGTTTGATCAACACATCCTTGCACTTTCACAAATCTTAACTCTATCCTTAATACTTAAGAAAAGTAGCAATTTTGTTGTGTATTAATGAATAATATTACATCTATAATTCAGAAATTTCAGAGTAAAAATGTGCCAAAGCAAAACCCACTCACTTAAGTATTGTCAGCCCGTGCTCAGTGTTGTGTAGTTGTGTACAGAGTTTAACAAATTGAATACAACCGCGAAACGTAAACTGTAAACAGGGCACGAGCTCTGTTGTTGTTAATGTTTACGTTTCACCGGGTGTGTTCAATTGTTAAACTCTGCACACACCACTGAGCACGGACTGACAATACTGGTGAGAGTATTTTGCTTTCTACATTTCTACTCTGGAATTTCTGCATTATAGTTTTAATATTTTTCATTAATAAACAACAAAATTGCTACTTTTCTGAAGTAATAAGGATGAAGATAAAATTTTTGAAAGTGCAAGGAGTGTCTATCAAACGCGTCCAGAAATTCGAAGTTTCAATAACTTCCAGATAACAGGGCGGAGAAACTACGTCATATAGGGTTATCGCTTAAGTTTTCAATGGCGGACTTTTCGAGCGCCTCGAGGTAAGTTTTTCTTTCAATTTATCTAATTTTAAGTGAAGAGGTCAAAATAATTTCAGGCAAAGTACTTCAACTACTTTATGAGATGTGTTAACATATTTAAATGACTGAAAAAACCAGTATTTATCGTAACAACCCCTGGCAAACTTGAAAAGATGTGAGGTTATCGCCAACAATAACGTGTCGTTTTTGACAAATGCAGGTGATAGCATAGTTATTCAGAATTATGTTCAAAATATTTATCGAGATTTTAGTTAAAAATACAATTACCTTGAACGTATGATTACTTTCCTCTAAAATTAACATGCAACTGTTGGCAAACAATTAAAATTTTAAAAAGGTTGTCGCTCACATAGGTATGATTTGGGGTTGTCGCTCACATAGGCCTAATCATTTCATTGATGTTTACAGAATATTAGAGACAAATCATGCCAATTCAGTAACATGTATATAATCAAAATATTTTCGTATTTTTTTTTCATTCATATAATTTTTTCTTTCAATTTCAGAAATATGCGGACTCCTTTTTTCCCCTTATCCAAGAAGATTTCATATTTTACCAAATCACAATAAACATATAAAGCGGACTATAAATTTCTAAGGTTCGACCATTTTCTTAGGGTGTTATACAATGTAATTTTAGAAAAGGCTACTCTCACTGTTTTGAGTACAATTTTATATACAAATGAAATTGAAATCAATAAATTTTTACCACTCCTATAATTTTCAGAGTTATTAATCTATAGAAAAGTACTAGTAACCAAAAATCGAGATTGGACTACCTTTCCTAAACACCCCCCCCCCCCCATTTACTAGAAAATGGTAAAAATTGTTTTCTTTAAAACAATACAATACATGATGCAATGCAATACTTGATGCCAAAATATGCTGGGGTAAGTACACAGCATATAAATAAGACTTGAAAGAAAGCAATATGTTATACCCCCCCCCCCCCGTTCACCCCAACACCACAAGATAGAAGTGTTTCGGAGATTCGAAACAAATTTTCGTTATTTCTACTTTAAAATTTAATTTTACTTGTTTAAAGATTTCTGAGTCTTGATCTTGGCATGTCTAATATTAAAATTATATCATTATACATGAAATCCATATTTATTACTCTTCAACTTTGCAATGAATTATCTGTAGTTTACAGTTTCATTACATAATAGCATTTTAATAATAATTTAAGTTATATTTAATAATTAAATTAAGTAACTCATCACTGTTAACTAGTGTTGTCAAATCGGACGATTTTTAGTAACCGGTTACTCGCTTAGTTTTCCGATCGAGTAACCGGTTACTCGGATGGTCTTTCTTTAGACATCAAACATTTTTGTTAGCGATATATACTCGGCTGTATCGTATGTAATGTTGTTACCATTTCTATATTTATCTTATCATTTGTATATCGGTATACACAAAACACAAATAAACTGCATATGAACTTCATTTAAAATCACAAACACACAATATCTTCTAAATAAATTTGTTCTCGAACACTCCGTAATCATTGGCTGTTTTGCGCTTTGTATATTACTGGATTTACAGTTAAACTTCAGTCTGAGGTGGTTTAGAATATTAGTTGTCCCATCCGTGCATGTTAATTCCACTTCACATGATTCACACCTCATAGAGTTAAATTCAGCTATTCTTTAAAAAATATTTCGATGCATGTGAAAGCATCTTCTTTAATCTTGTACTGAGGACTAGCAGAGGTTTACGGTTTATGTGAGGTAATTATAATTAAATGTGGTTTATTTGATGTAATCATAATCATATCAAGCCATCGAAACTTGTATACCCCTTGGCAATCAAAGCCATCAATTAGATAAACTGTGAAATACTAATTAAAATAAATCGATCGCATTTGTAAAACCCTAGGTCGAGACTTACGTTAAATAACGGTAAATAAAATGGGGACATCATAGACAAAAATACATTATTCCTAATGATTTACTTTATAAAATTCAATATATCCGAGTAACCGAGTAGCAGTTTTATTAACCGATACTCGCATTGTCCGACGATTAACCGGTTAACCAGGTACTCGTTGACAACACTACTGTTAACAGAAGTGGGGTCTGTTTACATTTGCGATGTTTAAGACGAAAAAAACGCTATTTATTCAAAGTCATTCATTAAAAAAAATATTTTTAAGAAGAAATTATGAAAAATATTTTTTGAAATGTTTAAAACGATTCATGTATTAAACAATCTGGACGAGTTGCCTTTAAGGGACACCAGAATTTTGTTTAAGATGGTTTGGCCAAAATTTAAAATATAATTTCTCTAAAATTTCGCATTTCATTTCAATTTCCTTTTGAAGTATGATTGTCTAACATATCATTTGTAGCTGTGACTTGTTTTTTTAAAAATATATTATCCATGGGTTTTGAAAATATTCACAAATGATGTGT